AACTCAAACTTAATTTCTATACTTATTTGATCACTTACACTCCAAGTATATCATAGTTTGAAAAAAATCAATCGGCTCGACATCAAAATCCATATTTTATCATGTCCCCACAAAATATGTACTAGTAACAATGTTCCTTATGACATGTTTTTCTTACTGCTCAGACGGAAACTTTTAGATTGCTATTTTAACTCTTTAGAATTCAGATCAGGGAAAGAGAAGAATGTGGAAAATGAAACAAAAATGAAATTTCCCCTATCGGCAATTTAGGATACTTTCTTTGTCCCTCACAAATACAAATGATATTTAAGGAAATTATTATGCTTCTTCTGCTATCTCTGCAGAAGCCAAGATGAGCTAGGAATTCTTTTCTCCTCAAGGGAAGTTGGGAAAGAATCAGCGTTGATCTACTGTGAACTTTATTAGGGGCATAGTTAAAACTAAAGTCAGTGTCCAGGCTCTTGATTTTGTGGCCTGACAGCTCTCTTTGGTGTTGTGGATATTAAAGAACTGACACAGAAGTCTGTGCAGCCAATCACAGCCTGACTGACAGGTGTGAACATAGCTTCCCCCTTCAGGATTTGAGAGACTCTGAGCTGTTTGATATGAACAGAGCCTAGAAGCTGGGAGAGAGGAGGAGGAACAGTTCTGGGCTCACACCCACATGCCCACCAGGCAGCCAGCCGCGTCTCTTGGAAGAGTTTTAGTTCATTTTATTGTTGATGAAAATCAATCTCGCCATAAAATCAGAAAGGATTTACTAAAGTAGCCATCACCAAATACAGAAGGTGTATTAAAAGAGAGAAACCACATGTGATATTAGCACATCAAAGACAAAACACTTGCCTTGAGAATTATCATACATTTTCGAATAAAACATCGGCAGACATCCCTTTCCTTTTTACATGCCTCTTCACTGGCATGTGTTTAGACCACATTCCATAATTTCAACCGAGCTCATCAATAGGTATGCCACTGCAAATTTCACTACAATGTAATTCATTTGCAATGGTCATTTATAATTCCCATTTAGGGACAACCAAGTAAGTATGCAAGAAATTTACTTTCATGTGTTCCCGTTTCCTTACTCTTGTCTGGGTTGTGTTCAGTCAACTAAATTTTCTCCACTTGTAGCCTCTTTTCATGAGGATAATAGGTTTGGTCCTTACTGTTTCTGAAGATAAGCTTTGTAGAACCACTGCTTCCTCCCTTCTCGCTTACCGATCTTTGCCATCAACACCACTAAAAATAGTAATGCCCCATATGAAGCTACAGTAAGTCACCCTGAAAACTGCTGCTCAGAAGCAACGCGAGGGACAACAGCAGCTGTGTGGCAATTTAGAGCCAGCTGGCTCCATGGTATGTGGAGACTTTCATTTCTGAACTATCAGTTAATTTCCTGAAGTATTTTGAAATACTAAACACATAGCGTATATTTTACTTTCTAGATTTCTCCAGGAACACCATTCATCTTAGAATTCAAATTTTATCTTTTGTTCACGCATTCCTGGAGAGTTTTCAGCAGATCAAGTTCTTATGTTTTGGGATCTGATTGTTATGGGAAAGATCCTGACTGGATGGAAAGATTTTACTACTGCTGCTACTTTGACTAGTACTGAGCTCTATTTTGTTTTGGTTTTTGTTTTCTTTCTTTGCTTACAGAGTTTAGATGTAATTAAATAGAAAATAATATTTCCTCACACCACCAAGAATGAAATAAGATAGATAGAAACTCAGACTTACTGAATCTTTTTACTACATGCCACTGCAACTATTTTCTATACTAAGCAATTAATTTAATAATGATCTGGGAATAAATCTTAAAACATCATGTTTCTATCTAAAAATTAAAAGTCTTATTAGATGCACAAAATCAAAATTAAATGACCTAGACATCTATTTTCCTACTAATTCACATAATCAATACTTCCTTAATTATTTTTAAAGAAATTTTTAAACAGGTCATGATATCTAATTAAACTACAAGCTTTGTGAAAGCTTGGTTCATGTTTAATATTTTTATACAACATAATAGTGAATATATTGAGCACACAACACATATAAAGTAAATATTTGTAATTTAAACATTTTTCTGGACATAAAAATTCTTCATCATGCAATAAAGACCAACTTTAGAACATATTTTAAACTATGGTAACAGCATGGTCGACATAGGAAAACAATCTGCATTAACACTTTCAAACAAATGCAAAGAAGACAAATTAATAACACTTACTAAACAGTTGCTTGATATTGGGAATGCAGAGCCTACTGATCTTGGCTTTTTCTCTATATAAGGAGTGCCTCGTGATGTGTCAGTTTTTTTTCTTTTTTCAAATAAAATGTCAAAAACAGATTTGCTGCTACATGTGGACCTACTTGATGCTTGCTAATACAGACTTTAAATAAATACAGTTAAAGTTTGTACCTGATACTGCAAGGCCTGGGTGAGGAGAGGATTGAGTGGGAACTGCCCAAGTCCAGCTGAGGAGTCTTTGTTGAGATGAATACAAATCTGTGTGCGTGCCTGCGCACGTCGCACGTGTGCATATGTGTGTGCACATGTGCATGTGTGTACAGGTGTGTGAGATGTGCATGCATTTGGACAATGTTCCATTGCCATTCTGAATTGGCACATATGTAAATCTAGAATCTATAACTTAAAGAGAGGCTGGCAGCTGGGCATAGATTTTAGATTCAGAAAGACATAAATGGTATGAGATCATAAAGGGGATACCCTGGGCTTGGAGTCTGGGAAGTGAAAGAAGATCCAGTCAAGGGACCAAGCAAGAGAGCACAGATGACAGTGGAGACTGCACATGGCTTTTCTGAGCTTCACTGTAAAACTGTTGAGAAATCGGGCAATACAGAGGGAGCAGCCACACTGACTGACGCTGTCACACGGTGAGGGGCCACAGCGGCCAGCGTGGATCAGTGTGATTACAGACAGAGGACAGGGCCCTCATCCCTCCACACTCAGAGGGTATTATTGCTCTAATTTATGGTGTTTGGGGGGTTGTTTCCTTCTCCGTATCTAAAGGTATCTAAAGGTCTGCCTGGGCCAGAGATTTAGCTCAGTGGTTCTGGCACCTGCCTTGCAAGCGCAAGGTCCCGAGTTCAATCCCCAGTACCAAAATAAAAAAAGTAAAGGTCTGCCTGATTGCCCCCGAAGTACTGCTTCTACCACCATTAAGTCCTTTCCTATCACTTATTTTCTCTTCATCCATAACAATTATTAATGTCTGGTTATATAAAATTTGTTCACTTATTTTACTGAAATTTAAATTCTAAGATGTGCAGCATATTATCATTTCTCTTCTGTAAACTACAACAGTGAATGACACATAGTATACTAAATACTACTTCAACTGATGCATGAATATATTCCAGTTTCTACACATCTACACTTTCATTACAGAATAAGTTATATTTACTTCTTATAAAGAATAAAATCATGCAAAAACTCCCTGTGCAGGTCATGTGACAGAAAGGCAAAATAGTAGCACAATATTAACTTTACCAATGATTTAACTTTATTTTAATCAATCTTAACTAAGGTAAAAATTTTTATAACCATGCCTGTAATTTCTCTCAGCTGTGTGTTCAATAATCTTGACAGTTAAGACTTAATCTAGATTTGAGAAAATATATTTTAAAATATGATATATTATTATCATTAGTAAACATTGTTTTATTTTATACAGAAATATGAAAACACTCAAAGCAGAGCCAAAAAAGATCAACCACCTAAAAATAAGAAAGAGAATATTAAGTAATGAGTAATGCCAGTAAATTAAGCCTAATGGAAGCTTAACAGAAGCTTGGTAGTAAACTGAATTTGTTTCTGACTGTATTTTCATACTAGTACTTATGCTGGTACTAGCATGCTTTTCATATGGAAAAAGGAATTCCACTTATAACTTTATGATCAGGAAAAATTGTCCAAATACATAGGGATAAAAAATAACCTATTTTAAAAAGATAGTGAGACATATATTATTATGTATCAATTTAATTTAATATTTTTATAAAATAAGGATCTTACAGAACATCTTATTTAAAGTCTAAAAAAGATTTCTTATAATAAAAATAAAATATTTTACATGACATACTTTATATCGGTTTGGAAACATTTCTCACTATAAATTTCTTCGAGATGTCTCAGTAGTAGACTGAAGACAGGATTCTTACTAATTTTCTAAGTATTCCCAGAATCAGAAATAATTATGAGCATTTCATTTTTCTACTGTCATAATATATAAAATTATAAAATTTTAGCCTGCTCAAATGATGCCACCATACACATTCACCATTTCCCAATGATTTTTTAAAGATACTTTATGAATGAATTCCTGCAAATCGCTATTTCCTTCAAACACTGAATTCTAACTCAGAGAAATTCCTATAACTTCATAAAATAGAAAATAATGTAGTTTAGATGTGGAGCAAATCATTCCAAACATCAAACTCAATACATTGCTTGGCTCATCCTTCTTTTGGGAGTCAGGTGCACTGTCTAATATCATCAAAACATTTCCAGAAATAACCAGGATTCTCTTAGATTTGCAGATAAGTATTTGAAATTGCTTCAGATAAGAGGATCAAAATGAAATAGGGCAGGGAGATTAAATGAGAAAATGATACAACAGATGTGATTAGATGATGTGATTGAAGAAATAAATGGGATCCAGCCGGGAAATTAAAAAAAAAAGATGAACACAGACATACAGCAACATTCATGGAGGATGCAAAAACTGAAAAGATTTGATGGCAAATTACACAAAGGAATAAAGAGAATGAGAATACAGAACGTATGTTCTGAAGAGGAGGATGCAATCCTTGAATTTTATGGAGACAGAAGAGGCACCAGAGCAGGAGCAGGGGTCCCAGATGGAGAGAGTCACAGGAAAGAGTGGAAGAGCATTTTGGTGTGCTCGCCAATGGGGCACCAGTGTTCAGGAAACACACACGTGTTACATATCAGATTCTGAGCTCAGTACCTTTGCTTTGTCTCTCATGGATCCTTTGCCCAGGATAGACATTTTAGCACCTGTTTCTTCCTGTAGCCTCTTCAAGGAGTTTCCTCTTGGTCCAAGCAGTTTCCCCACAAAATTGAACTAGGAAACAAAATCAACAGAATGTCTTAGGAAGCAAGAAGCACATGCATGCATGGACAGACACACACACACACACACACACACACACACACACACACACGAGCAGACCCAAAACCTGTTTTAAAAACTGAATAGACAAGCCATGGACAAGGAGAAAATACTTCTAAAACAACTAGAATTGAGTATCTATAATGAATCCCATCAAATCAGTAATAACAAATACACATGCTCCATAATGGCTAAAAGTGAAAGAAGACCGAAACCAAATGTTGACAGAAATGTGGAATTCCTGGAACAGTCACTGTTGCCAGTTTAAAATGATACAACTACTGTGGAAAAATTGAGCAGTTTTTTCATGAATTTAAACATCCGGCTCTACTATGGCCCAGCAATTATACTCCATAGACTGTATCCAAGATATATAAAAACATATGTTCACAAAAAGTTGCATAAGAATATTCATCACATTTTATTCACAATCACTATTTAACCATAAATAGGGTAACATCAATTCTAGAAGAACAAGATGTTTATATGCAAATGGAAAGGAATTACTCAGTGATTGATACCATAACATATATTTTACAAATATTTGAGAGGAGAAAGACGAATGCAAGTGCATATCATGTTAGGATTACCTTATCACAAAACTGTAATGGCAAAAGTCATATACACTGTTAGAATTCATAGGAGTGGTTTCCTGTTGAGAACAGAGGGTGGATGGGACTGGCTCAGTTTGGGATTTAGCTGGAGGTATAGGTCCACTTTGCCCAAACTCATCAAGTACACTTCTAAGATCTGCGCATTTCACTGTAGTAAACAGTGCTCTAACTGAGAAAGGGGAAAAAGAAATAAGGCTGAAAACTCATATAAATGTTTAAAAATAATATCATGAAGAAATGTGCTATAAAGGAATACTAGTGCAGGATTGTACAGAGAAAACTCAAGAGGTGTTTAGAAAATAAATCATTCCAATGTGGACTACTCCAGAGAAAGGAACGGGAAAACATCCGCCAGGCTAATATAACCTTCATACCAAAACTGTGCCAGAAAATGACATTTACAGCCTGAAGTTACTCATGAGTACACAATGAAAAAACCCAAATAACAAAACAGCATAACCAAGCCTATCATACATGCAAAAAAAATACATCACAACTGACGTATGTTATCTTAGATACAGAAAATAGTTCAGGATTTATAATCACTCATTATAATTTTCCCATTAACATATTAATGTGGAGTAAAAGATAAAATTATATTTGAACGAAAATAATTTGATAACATTCCAATATAATCAGGACAAAAAGTCACAGTACCTAAACAGTAAAAATCACTTCCTCAATTGATATAAGATTTCTATTCAAAATTAATGACAGTAGACTTAATGGTACAATTATATCAGAACTACAGTAATGTAAGATGGACATTATTGATATTTTACTCAACACAAAATATATTAACTAATATGACAAGACAAATTTAGAAACATAAGAAAAAATCGTAGTTTATACAATTATATACATAGGGAACTTGAAGTATTTTCAAGAACATTAGTAATATTAGTAAGAAAGCCTCCCAAGGTGTTTTATACAAAATCAATATAAAAATCAATTGTATGTTTTGCATACCAGCAACACATAATTACAAAGTGTTTTTTACAAAGACATATATTTATAAAAGCAGCAAAAATATTCTAGGAATGAATATACATATGTATCTTCAAAATTTTTGGAGAATATAAAAAATACATTAAAGACATTGCATAAATATAGAGAGCATGTTCATAAAATAATGTCACAGTGACATACAGAATTTAACCTATAGCTAATGCAATTCTATTTGCAATCACAATAGGATTGGGATTATTTTAAGAACTCCCAAAATTTGTTTGACAATACTAAAGTCCAAGGACAGTCAAACTTTCAGAAGCAAAAGAATACATTCAGGCTGTTCAAACATTGAGCAAGATGCACTACAAACTGTGTTAATGCCGAGTGTGCGGCAGGCACACTGTCCCCGGGCACAGAATCCGAAGCCTCACAGCAACCCTGAGCATGGTGAACCTGACGCAGGATGGCCCGGGACACGGCTGGGCCCACAGTCACCGGGGACGCGGCAGAGTCGGGGTCTGAAACCGGAGAGAAAACCCTGCCACACCAGGTGAGTCCGGGTCCTCATAAGTGAGAGGGGCAGCAGCGGGGTGAGGCCGGGTGCAGGCCCCAGGGATCCCCTGGCCACTGGGCCCCTGGAGGACAAACTCTCGGGGTGCTCCTACTAGCAGAAGAGCAGGAAACCCGCTTCCTGTAGAGCTCAGTGGGGAGCATAACCTTGCAGGCCCCTTGACTCTAGCCCCAGGAGAACTATTTCAGACTCCTGATATCTGTAACTGCAGAATCATAAATTTGCTAAATCCACTGAATTTAAGCTTGTAGTAATTACAGCAGCAATAAGAAACTAATATACTGAGGAAAATAATTTCCTAATTCTGTATATAACACAATGGCTATCCACAGTAAGAAAAGTAAAATTCATACATCTTCACAAAAAGCACATTCTTCATTGAAGAAGAACCAGGAATGGGCAAAACATATGAAAAGCTCAACTTTATTATAATTTAAACAAAAATAAAATGAAGGCCACAAAAAGATATCTCACATACATCCTGTTTAAAAAAAAAAAACCCTGAAAGACTTGCATGCATGTTGCATAGAATTTGGAGCCAGGGGTTTGTGGAACAAACACTGTTTGTGAGTACAACCATTTGGGCAACGTCTTGTAAACTTGTGAATGCATTTAACCTATTCTTCTCTATCTGATTCCCTGTATATTCCCTGAAATCTTAGCACATGTATAAGAATGAGTATCAATGCTTGTAAGATCAACAATTGGCAGAAAATAATGATTGATTCGAGAATGGGGTGCTGTGAACTCTAAACCATAACAAATTTTTTTCCATATCTTGGAACTGTTTCCCAGATCCCTTTCCATGTGGACATTTGGGGGGGGGGGTCAGTGTCTGAAAGCTGCATGGGACATGGATGGTGGGGATGAGGAGTCCATTATTTCTAGCCCACCTTGGGGGTCGGACACGGCCAGCTGCCTGCCTGACCTCTACCTGAGCTCCCACTCCATGGACAGGGGAGCCCAAAGGCTTCCACACAGGCTCCCAGCTCTGGGTCCTGGCAAGCTTTCAGCCCCTATCTGGACTCTGCTAGGCAGTCACAGTGAGCTGTGCTCTGATTCTCCGCTGAGGTCGGAGGCTCCTCCCAGCCTGGGCACGGCCACTTTCCTGATGTCCCTGCCCATCTGTCCCAATAGTTACATTGCATGCCCCCTGAGCTCTAGCTTATACCCCTTCTATAAGAATGGCTTCTGTGTGCACAGCTGTGACTGGCACAAAAGACGAAGTATCAACAACCATATCAAATGCCACCCCAGAAATCTACTTTTGAGTGAAAAATCCAATCTCTCCCTATATGCCACTGTTTTCACAAAAATCAAAACCAGCCAAAATTGATTATGAATACACTGGATATCTATTCATTCTCCTGAATAATGGTGAATAAACAAAATTGACTACTTTGTTAACCATTGGAAATGAGGGAACAGAAGTAATCAAAGGGAAACTGAGGGAGTTGCAAAACAACAGCCAATGTTTTAGACTGTAATTTACCTTACGGGTTTAAAGGTCTTCGTTTTACTTTGTTTTACACTATGTAAAAGTTATTTTGAGCCTAGTCACAAGAAAAATGGAACAATTCCAGTTGAGTGAAGTTTGACGGGATTTCTCTTTAGTTCTAGATTACAGAAGCTTTGTTCCCTGTTATTGAAGACAGCAAAACATCAACACAAAAACAGCAAAGCCCTCAAAGTGACGTCTCTACTGGGGATGCTTATTACCACAAAAGTGACAACATGTCACACAATGCTGGATGAGGACAAGCTACTGGAAAATAAACACAAGTCCCCACTATCAGAATTTTCTGATCTTTCCCTTGATTTTTGTGACCCATTTCTCAATATTTCTATTTCAACACAGAAGTCTTATTTCTGCCAATTTGAAACCAAATTTCTCTAAAATTAAAAAAGCAGTATTTCCTTTAATTCTTACACAATTTCTACTTGTTGAAATAAAACAGGCATCCCACAGAATTAAGACACAGATTTAATTCACAAATCTCTCAGGGATTTTAGAGAGGAACAATTTCCTTCATGAATAATATTAACTATATAGCATTACTTAATGGAAGCCAGTCTCTCAATGTGCATTTTTAAATTTATAAATGTATAATATGCCATTAATTGTTAGCAAGTATTTATTTGCTCATCTTTAGTTTCCCGACATGATTTTGCTCCTCCTACAATATCTGAAGATTTTGCCACCAACACTGAGGAATGATGGAGAGTTCTATCCTATCATAAGAAGGACTGGACACCATTGCTGTTAGAGACCTAAGATAATGAAAGTAATTTTGAAGCTGGCTGCACCTTTTTTTGTACCATGCTTAGGTTCTGAAAGTTTATTTTATGATAAACTTTGAATGTATTCAATAGAAAAGTTGTCCCAATAGGACCCTTTTTTCTCTGCTTTCATCCTATACTAGACCCCGTCAACCAAAGCCCAACCACAACCATGAAAGGTGCATCATCACTGGCAAGAGCTAGTGCTTAGAACCTTCTCTGTAAAACAAACTTTTTAAACACAGAACAGAAATCAAACATTAAACAACAGTGTCTTCAATATTAACCATAATTTAGTATCTCTGAAATCTCTAAGATTCTTCAGACTTAATAAAGTGAAGTCAGCTGTGTTTTCAGTATGTTAAATATCTTCAAATATTTTAAAGTATTTTATTCACACGTGTTTAAGGAAAATTAAATTTGTGTACATAATCTTTTTTTTGGAGGTTAAAAGTAGTAAGATATTTATTGACAGGAAAACTCCTGAGGGGCAGGAGGGGTCCAGAGCAGGTAGCCAAAGACCCCACTTTACAGAG